CCTGCAAGGGAGGGCAGTTGAAGGCGATCAACCCTGAAGGGGAGGGCAGTTAGGGGTGACCAGGTTGGCAAAGGAGGGAAGTTGGGGGCAAACGGGCTGTCAGGGGAGCAGTTAGACATCAATCAGGCTGGCAGGCAGAAGCGGTTAGGGGTTATCAGGAAGGCAGGCAAGTGAGCAGTTGGCTGTATATTGCTTCTAATTATCCTTTTATTTATTCTCTATCAGTGTGGGCTTCCATATGTGGAGGTGCTTTGTAAAAATCGGTATGTAGGAAGAACCTTCATTCAGCCAAACATGAGGCTACGACAACTTGGTGTTGCAAAAAAATTTGGAGTATTGTCGGACAACTTTAAAGGCAAAAGAATTGTTCTTATAGATGATTCAATTGTGAGAGGCAATACCATCTCACCCATAATCAAATTGCTGAAAGAATCTGGTGCAAAAGAGGTAAGTAAAATTAAAATATCCAAATTGCAAATCAGGACAGTGAGTGAAAATGCATAGTTCATTATAGTAAGTTGACATTTTTCTAATTATGTGTGTTTAGGAATAACTATAGCAATGTGGAAAATATGTAATGACCACTCTCAAGCTACATACTAATTTAACCCTTACGACATTAAAAAGTTCAGTATAGCCCTAGCCAATTTGGCTCAGTGGATAGATGCCCATGGACTGAAGGGTTCTGGGTTCAATTCTGATCAAGGGCACTTGCCTGGGTTGTGGGCTCAATCTCCAGTAGGGGGTGTGCAGGAAGCAGCCAATCAATGATTTTCATCATTGATGTTTCTATCTCTCTCCCTTCCTCTCTGAAATAAATAAAAATATATTTTTTAAATTTATAATTAAAAAACTGACAAAAAACACATGGGAATGGGGGGTTGAGGACAATTATGTGATACTATAATCAATAAAGAAATAAAAAAAGTGAAAAAAAGCCACACAATAGAGTACTTTTTAAATTTTTACAGTAATGATTACTTACTTTTTTGAAGATGTAGAACAAACCCAAGTGATACACTATAATAGTTTATATTTTTAAATCTCAAAGCTTATTCTAATTCTAAATATTTCAGTAATTCAAATGATAGAAATGAGATATTGACTAAAAATAAAATTATTATAGAAGAAAGCAGGTATAAGAAGCAGTATCACAGTATATTTAGAGAGCTTCCAAGATAATTACGATTTTCAATCCATTTTTATGACTATGATTATGATAATCTGGAATTCTATAAAAATTATATAAGAAAAACAAAGAGGTGTAAAGTAAATTCAACACCTATTACAGTAGTAAAAAAGAATGGCAATACAAAAGAAGTAACAATAGCTTATACAATATACATAAGATGTGGCAAATAGGTTTATAGTTGTTAGTACATGAAACACAGTTTATTCTGGTAGTATTATTAATACTGTGTTATTTTCCACACTAATAACTGTAAACCTGCCTTTGCCCACCCTGTATATCTACCAGTAGGAAATAGTTTAGTAAATTGATACAGATGAAATATGTTACAACCATTAAAAACTATAATGAAGACTGCATAACTTGGGAAAATATTTGCTGTTATAAGAATGGTAAAAATTTAATGTGGACACTGATTACAGCCATGCATATGTACATGATAAAAGGCAGAAAATAGTAAACAAAAATAGCTCTCTGTAGGTTTTTTGTTAAACCCCGATAGTTGGTTATTTTTCTTTTTATTTATTTCTTTTTATTTATTTCTTTTTATTTTTTTTAATATATTTTATTGATTTTTTTTTTTTACAGAGAGGAAGGGAGAGAGATAGAGATATAGAAACGTCGATGAGAGAGAAACATCGACCAGCTGCCTCCTGCACATCCCCCACCGGGGATGCGCCCGCAACCAATGAACATGCCCTTGACCAGAATCGAACCTGGGACCCTTCAATCCGCAGACCGATGCTCTACCACTGAGCCAAACCGGTTTCGGCGGTTATTTTTCTTTTTAAAAAAGTAAAGTAAGAAGTGGGCAAAAGGGCATTTAAGTGGTACAAGAGAAAAATGGAGGTGATCCTAAGAAAATAAAGTCAGTAAGTGATGAGAAATGGGAGAACAGAAGAAAGAAATGTCCTCAACAGGTGACAGATAAAAAAATGAAAAGCTCTATAAAAGGAATCCTCCTTTATGGGGGGCTGACATTTTGAAATTCTTGTCCAAGAAATGTTGGAATCTAGATAGGGCTGTTCACGTGGATTCTTTGGTAATGAATAGACTCTAAAAGTAGTTCTGACTGTTCTGTATGTATATCACATGATTTTCTAGGATTCCTTTTATCTAGTATTCAATGTAAGAAATTTTGTAGTTTGTGGCCCTGGCTGGATAGTTCAGTTGGATGGAGCAGCATTCCCGTATGTCAAAATTGTGGGCTCAGTTCCCAGTTAGGGCAGAGTGAATCAGCCAGCGAATGCATGCATGATGGAACAACAAAAGTTGATGTCCCTCTCTCTTTTTCTCTTTCTCTCTCTCTCTCTTTCTCTCTCTCTCAAATCAATAAATTAAAATTTTTACATTTTGCTTCATTTCATATATGTGTTATTAAATATTCTGTGAAACAGTTTTGTGTTACATTTGTCAGTGAAAGAATTTTGCACAATTGTTTTACAATTAATGCTAAAATAATGAATGTGTGCTATTATTTCTTTACAAGGTACACGTTCGAGTAGCTTCACCGCCAATTAAATATCCATGCTTCATGGGGATAAACATACCAACAAAAGAAGAGCTTATTGCTAATAAACCAGAATTTGAACATCTTGCTGAATATCTAGGTAGCTATTAAAGTTTCTGTAAACTTTATTTTTATTCATTTATTAACATAAAATCCAATGCTTACCAATCTTACTAAAAGAGCATTAAATATTTGTTAAAAGTAGAGGATGTGTATGTTGAGCAGATATTGAACACTATTCTGAATAGTGAGGGTGCTGGGTGTGTATTTACACCATACTGAGAGCTGTGTAGGAGAGTTAGGTCAAGGTGAGGTGAGTGGGAAAAAGAGGGGATGAAAGGCTTTCCAGATAGAGGAAAGTGCATGCATATCAGTTAAGCCTCCCAGTCATATCCCAAGAAGAAAAAAAAAAACACGATTTCACCACAGATTCTAGTAGAAAAATTTGAATGTAGATACAAACAGAATGAACAACTTATGTAGGTTTATCCTATCTAATAAAGAGGGATTATGCAAATTGAACATCACATCATAACAAGATGGATGCGCCCATAGCGGAGGCAGGGATTCCGTAACACAAGATGGCTGTGCTCACAGCAGAGGCCAAGTTCCCATAACAAGCCTTAACGAGCAATCAGCAGGGACCTGAGATTGTGTGGTACTGGGCTGGGACAGGGGACCTGAGGCTATGCCCCCCATCTGGTGGGGCTTGACGGGGTCCTCATGGCATGCCTTTTGCCCCTCTCAGGCTGGGGTACCTCAGGTGGCACCCTCCACCCCAGTGCTGGTTCAGGCAACCTGAGGCCACGCCCCCCATCTGGCAGGGCTTGGTGGGGATGGGGCCAGCTGGTTCTGGATCTAGCCCAGTGGGTGTGGGGTTGGCCAGATCTGGGGTTTCACACGATTTCCAGGTGCATGTGGGTGGACGAGGAGTTGACTCTGGTTCCCCTGGCGTACCCAGACTCTGACAGGAGGAAGATTTTCATACACATTTTACTAGTATTCTTTCATCTCTGACACTTCCATTATAGAGAAAGGGCAAATAGCAATATTTAAATATCTCCTCTAATTAATCCCTTTTAATGTGCACGAATTTTGTTTACCGGGTCACTAGCCTTTAACAATGAGGTCAGGAGACTTGGAGATCTATGTTACCCTGGATAAGATATTTGCTTTCTTAATTTAGGTGAGGTATAAACTATTTAAGCAGCTCATAGTTGTTCAGCCCGTGTGCCTTGGTACCTGCCTCCACACTTGTTTATAGCTGGTGTTCCTTTATGCCCTGACCACATATTGAACTGGCAACCTTGGTGTGTAAAGACCATGTTCTAACCACTTGACATACCCAGTCGGGGCCAGTTCTTACTTTCCAAAAGAAGTCTCATTCCTTTTTCTTTTTCCCTCTTTCCCCCTCTAGGAGCAAACAGTGTTGTATATCTGTCAGTAGAAGGACTGGTTTCATCAGTACAAGAAGGGATGACATTTAAAAAAAAACAGAAAGTGGGGAAGCAAGATATTATGATTCAAGAAAACGGGAATGGTGTGGAATGCTTTGAAAAGAAGGGCCATTGTACAGCTTGTCTCACTGGAAAATACCCTGTGGAACTGGATTGGTAGCTGGTAGGGGTAGATACAATGCTTCAAGATATAAAGTTGGTTAAGATGTTACAGTGGTTACACTTTATCCATTTAGTGTTTCTCAGTTGGTACAATGTAAATGCCACATGGTTACATACAAGTTTTTGAGATGTTTCATTTTTCCTGAAAAGGGTACCAAAGTGCTATGCTCTTTTTAATAAACCTAGATAAATATTTTGGTGTTATCTAGGAACTTGGGTAATCCTTCCAGTTTTACTTCGTTATTTAGTACTTTGAGGCTATCAGTTATGAGATCATCCACAGTAATGTGAAGAATGGGTACATTTTCTGTTTTAGAGGGGATTTCCAGGTACTATATACCTTTCCACAAATTCTTACAGAGTTTTGTGGCATGTTTCTCTTGTTACTAAAGTTCATTATGGAATATTTTCATAATTGAACCTTGCTAGTTGCAGATAATACAATATTGGTATTCTTTTTTAAAACATATATATTTTATTAATTTTTTACAGAGAGGAAGGGAGAGAGATAGAGAGCTAGAAACATCAGTGAGAGAGAGACATTGATCAGCTGCCTCCTGCACACCCCCCACTGGGGATGTGCCCGCAACCAAGGCACATGCCCCTGACTGGAATCGAACCCGGGACCCCTCAGTCCGCAGGCCGATGCTCTATCCACTGAGCCAAACCGGTTCTGGCTGGTATTCTTTTTTTAACACAAACATAAGCTCCATTTTCACCTGATCAAAGAGGGCAGGTGGTAAGAGGCATTTGCCAGATCCATGCATCAATGAGTTTGCAAGCAGTTAGACTAAGATGGTGTGATACAAACAGGACAAGTAAGTTAAATATAATATTTCATGCAAATTTTTCATCTATTATAGCCCAACGGTGTCAAGCCTCTAAAGTTCTGATTATAGTTATGACCTTGGCTTCCTTGTCTAACTTTAAACAATTTTTTTAATGCTTTTTTGTGCATTTATATGAGTATTGTAAACTTCAGAGGAGATGAAAAATGTGTTTTCACAGATCTATATTGTTGTGAACTGAGCTAAGTCCCAACCTGTGCAAAGGGGCACTGGCATTAACTAAAATAATTAATAGGAATGTGAATGCGTCATATTCTTGGTGGGTAGAGCCATCATTTCATACCTATATTTAAGGTATTGCATGATTATTATGTTTTGAAATGTTGGCTGTTAGATTGTAATTGAGATTTCATTATGATGAAGGGAGATTACAGTTTAGTCGTATTTTGCCGCCTGCCTTTGAGATATCCTAAGAATGATTGTAAAAATATGTGGAAAAAGTTTGACTAGAAATTGTGATCCATACTACTTAGTGTTCTGATAGTATAAAGCCCAGAAGGAACCTTGTGCGTTTGAAGTAAAAAATAAAATTTTAGGTTCTAATAAACATTTAATTCTTACTTGATCACTTACAAGCATATATACACCTATATGTATATACACATTCATGTCATTGCAATTGAATGATCAAGTAGAAGAACTGTAGGGACCAATTTTATTAAAGGAACAAGAAGCCAACTACTTTTTTTGGAATTAGCATGCTCATCTAATTCCAAACATCAACTTAACACCTTTTGTACTTAGTTTTATTGGGACTAATGAATTTAATTTTTTTAAGGTGTTTTTTTTTTTCTTGTTACATCTGAGATTTAAAATTTTAAGACAACTAGCCTCCAATTCCTATTTTTGTAAGATTTTTAAAACAGAAGAGTGTTCTGTGTTATTGTACCGTAATTTTGATGTATATTGTTCCCAAATCCATTTGGAAATTTAATATTTATTAGTAACAAATCTCTTTGTCTTCATTTGATATGCAGTCTCACGTGTTGTATTATGGTAGGCCGAGAAAAAATCCTGACGGCTCTTTAAGACGAAGAGCATCCAGACAGCAATGGGTCAGGTAACCCTGTGGCAGTGACACAAGCAAGCTGCATTTAAATAAAACCCTGGGACCATTTGAGCATAAGCCTCTTGTCTTAAATGTATTCCTCATAGCATTAAGGAGGCAAGACTTAATGGGTCAGTTTTGAACATCCTTACTTACATTTGGTTTTTAAAAACGAGTCTCAGGGAAAGTGCTAAACCAAAATCTCTTATTTGACTTCTGTGTTTTCCATAGTCTTTGTTTTATTGAAATGCTTTTATAATGAAATAATGTACTGTGACAGTTTGGTAATTTTTCAAATTTCTTAATGTTTCTCTATCATGGCCTTTTATTTCACAAGTTTCTGACGTCTGAATTATATATTTTTTTTTTTACCAATTTAATCTGAAATGTTTAACTGTTTTAAAGTTATATGAGTATTGTAAACTTCAGAGAAGATGAAAAATGTGTTTTCACAGATCTATATTGTTGTGAACTGAGCTAAGTCTACTTTTTTGTGAGTTCATTGTGATGTGCTGGTGAAAATATATGTAATTAAATATGTTTAAATGTGTGTGTGCTTTTTTATTATTTATTTATTGTTAATCTTCACTCGAGGATATTTCTCCATTGATTTTGAGAGAGAGCAGATCAGAGGGAAAGACAGAGAAACATAGATGCGAGAGGAACATCAGGAGACATACCTAAGTTGTGGGTTCTATCTGGTTGGGGCCTGTGAAGGAGGCTAATGATTGATGTTTATACAGCAGGTTGAGAACCGCTAGCAGGGTCACCGAAGACTACGATATGATTCATAACAGTAGCAAAATTACAGTTATGAAGTAGCAACGAATGGGTAAATGATCGTGCAAGACAAGAGACTGAGGAGATGTTTAAGCTGTGTTTTCTGATGAGTAAATGTTCAAACAGGCCTAGGGAAACAAAGGGTATTTCAGCCTGAGATCCAGCCAAAGCACAAGTATGGAAACTTGATAGGGAGTTGGAATGCCCAGAAGACTTCCTAGAGTCTCATTACAGCTGCAGCTGGTGTGGCTAGTGTGGAAGATGGGGGTTGAAGAGCTGTGGCCCACTGAGAGATCAATCTAAAAAGATAATGAATCCTTTTGTTTGCCTTGCTAAAGAGCCTGAATGTCATGCAGACAATGAGGGACCACTGAAGCTTCTTAAGCAGAGAATACTGTTTTAGAGTAATCACCCTAGGTTACCGGGTAGTGTCTTGAGTACAGTCTTATACATTTTCAAAACCTCTGGAAAAATGGTAGTAACGATACTTTAAAAAATATTTTTTATTGATGTCAGAGAGGAAGGGAGACAGAAACATCAATGATGAGAGATAACCTCTGATCAGCTGCCTCCTGCACTCCCCCTGCTGGGGATCGAGCCCTCAACCTGGGCGTGTGCCCTTGGCTGGAATCAAATCCAGGATCCTTCCTTCTGCAGGCTGATGCTTTATCCACTGAGCCAAACCGGCAAGGGCAGTATAGATATTTTTAGTCATAAAATCTCAAGTATAGAGGGAAAGATGAAAAAAACTTTTAAAAATACATTTTATTGATTTTTTTACAGAGAGGAAGAAGTTAGAAACATAGATGAGACAAACCAATCAGCTGCCTCCTGCACACCCCTTACTGAGGATGTGTCTGCAACCAAGGTACATGCCCTTGACCGGAATCGATTCTGGGACCTTGAGTCCATAAGTCTATCCACTGAGCCAAACCGGCTCTATCCACTGAGCCAAACCGGTCAGGGCAATAGAAAAATTCTTGAATCAAAAGCAAAGGGCCCAACTTATTTGGAAAAAGCTAAATTCTAAACCAGCAGTGTGACCAGAGCCAATAAGAAACCCTATTCACATCACAGGACCCCTTAAAAAAAACCCTCATAAACTGGCCTCTGGAATAGGGGTGTCGAACTCAATCAGAGAAGGGGCCAAAATCTAAAATCCAGCCTAAATCGCGGGCCGAATGGTTTACTGAACAGTCATAAACTGTCATTGTGAGGGAAACGCAGCAGAGTGCAGTGATGACAGCGCGGTGCAGGCCACATTGCAAGGCCTGGTGGGATGGATTTGGCCCGCGGGCCTTGTGTTTGACACATGTGCTCTGGAAGGAAGATTGAAGGTGGGTAACTAAAAGGACATATCCTTACAGCACTACCCATCACCCTCGCAGCCTCATTCTGGCCATTTTGTCGTTCAGGAGAGGGGAAAACAGGAGGCCTTCTATTGGAGGGCAGTAAGCACAACAGGAGAGCTTAGTGAACATTTTATACTTAATTCTGAGAGTCTCCCCACCTCCAGGCCTTTTCTCTCACTTGATAGTCAAACTTGTCTCCTGGGAGCTTCCAATCAGCTTCTAAATGTCCCAACCCGCTCACCTGCAAGTCCTCGCAGACGGTAGAAAACCCCGCAGGACCCCCACAAGCTCTCCTACGTGATTGGCTCCGACGTTTCCGGAAGGGGCGGGGCGACGCCGTCTGCTCACGTCGCATGCTCTGACGTCAACGCAGCGACTCCGGAGGTTTCCCCGAGGGCAGGAGCCTGTTAGGTCTCCGCGGGCGGCGCGGCGGGCTGTCTTTAAGGCTTTGTGGGGACCGCTTTTTGGCTATGGGTGGCTCGGTGTCTTGAGGGGGCTGCCGGGAGAAGGCTCGAACCTTCCGCCCACCCCCCACGGCTTTCGGATGGCAGTGGTGTCGGCGGGGCTGGTGTGCAGAAGGCAGGTACCACGACCTCGGGGGCTGGCGGTGCGCAGGTCGGCTCCACCTCGGGGCGAGCCAGGCCTCCGATTTGAGTCCGTGGTGTCTGGTGGGCGGGTGTCCTGTGTGATCTCCCCTGGGTCACCCAGCCTTGGGCCCTCGTTCCCTTCCCTGAAATAAGCCTGCCCCGCCTACCCGCTATCTTGGTTTCAAAGAGCAAATGAAAAAGTGTTTTTGGAAGCTATCAAGTGCATCGTTGTTAAACGTAGTTCGCAATGTAAGTTAAGAAGCCGGTGGGTACGGGAGAAATAAAGTTTCTAGACTACTCACTTGTTTTTAAAATAGCCAGTAAGCAAGAGAATGTGTTGACATTCCTGCTATGACTAAATAGCAGCTTCGGCAGTTGTAAAATAACAAGTATCTTAAACGTAATGTTCCCGTAACTTATGAAATCTGCTTACCAGATTTTGCATTCCACCCCACACCCCCCTGCAAGATTCAAGAAGTGTTTGGGCATCCAATAAATATAGTATTCTTTGTTGTGGAGAATGTATTTGGTTTAGTTAACGAAAATGAAAGCCTTAAACAAGAATAGATTATGCCTTAATTCTCTGTAGCAACCACTGGGAAACTCAAAGGTAGAAAAACATCCTCGTTGTGTATCTACATGTGAGGGTTGCAATAGGTCATAAAATGGCATTAAAAAAAGAATTTAGTTCATTTTATAATCTTACTCCTTACTTTGAGGTCACGTAATTTTGGGTTATTACATATTGAGTAGATTGCCCTCAAGCGAAAAATTAACTGCTGTATGTATTTTTAAAATGCATTTTTTTGCACATAGACCAATTTTTTTGTAAAATTGCTTTAGTATAGTATATTCTATAGTGTAGCAGTTTGTTACTTATATTCTGCAGAACGTAGCAGAAGAAATCCTTGTAATTTTAGTGCATGCTATGGAAAGTCTTCCTTATATTTAAACAATGTATGTATAAGGAAAACTTAACATTTTTAGAAATCATAGCATTTCCTAACCTTATGGGTCTAGGAATAAGTGGTCAGCAAACTGGTTGACTAATGAGTTTTCAGACCTCTAGATTATAGGTTATAGGTTGTAGGTTCATTTTGCTCTGTAGGAATATTTTATCAATGTTAACTAAATGACATGAATGAAAACGTATTTTGAATCAGTAGGGAAATCAGTTCAAATAAGTGTGGACAAATTTTTAAAGCTTGAATGATTAAAATAATGTTTGCTTTGAAATCTGAAATGAAGAGTTCAAAAAAATCACCTTTATCTTCAAGAAAATACTATCAATTTTGAGGTGTGTTTTTTTTTTATATGGTGATCCCTAACAGTTCTTTGATTAGTTTCAAATCTTTTTATTTAATCTGCATTGAGAAGCTCTCAGGACATTGAATTGATACAGTGTTTTATTGAGTTGTAAAATGACATTTAAAGTCTAAATTTAAATGAAATTATTGGCAATTTAAATGTCAAATAGAATATGAGAGCTTCTTGCTGAAACCGGTTTGGCTAATGGATAGAGCGTCAGCCTGCGGACTGAAAGGTCCCGGGTTCGATTCCGGTCAAGGGCATGTACCTTGGTTGCGGGCATATCCCCAGTAGGGGGTGTGCAAGAGGCAGCTGATCGATGATTCTCTTTCATCAATGTTTCTAACTCTCTATCCCTCTCTCTTCCTCTCTCTAAAAAATCAATAAAATATATTAAGAAAAAAAAAAGAATATGAGAGCTTCTTAACAATTATAAAGTGACTTAATGTGACCTGAGTAAATTATTATACTAAATAATTAGCACAGTTTATATATAGTGGACAAAAACTGAGTAGATTGTGGATTTTCTTTTTTCTATCAAAGGTTGATTTTGCTTCCTCTTAAATTCACTTCCTAAACACAGACTTTAATTGCACTAGTCTTTTCAAAGTCAATGTACAGATTTTAGCACATTAACAATAAAATTTTAACAATACTGAAGAAAATATTAAACATGTGGTGCTTTAAATTTGGTCTTATTGGTTAATTTAATATATATACATATGTATACACAGTGAGTGGCCAGATTATTATGATCTCTACGCATAATAATCTAGCCATTCAATGTATATCCTATATAATAAAAGGCTAATATGCAAATTGTCCCCTCAACCAGGAGTTTGACCAGCAGGCAGGCCAGCCAACTGCCCATGTCTTCTCCCCCTGGCCAGACTGACTGGACTCCACCATGCACAAATTCATGCACCGGGCTTCTAATATATATAATAAACACACACACACCACACATACTGAGTGGCCAAATTATTATGTGTTCAGAGATCATAAAAGAGAAAGATGCAAATTGACTGTACTTTCATGACCCCCACCAGCCAATCAGGAGTGAGTATGCACATTAACCCAACAAAGATGGCAGGTTAATTTGCATATGCAGGTGCCTAGTGGCCGGGGGGGGGGGGCAGGGTGGGATGCTTACATTGTCACCATTGCAATGACATAGGCATTCCAGACCACCCCAGCAGCTCTGGGTCTCGGCATCTTGGGAAGTTGGAAAGGCAGCTCTGGTCAGAGTGAAGGTGGTGCCAGCAGCCAGGGGAAGGAAGGCCCGTTCTTGCACAAATCTTCGTGCACCAGGCCTCTAATATATATGTATATGTTTACATTGTAGTCAGTTAAAAGATAATAATGCATTTCTACCTGTTTCATCCTCATTAATGTATACCACTCACCTCCCAAATTTTCTTTCAGCTCTGACACAGCATTAAGATGATTGCTTCAGATTAGTTTTCAATATCATTGTTCTCAGTGAAGTTACCATAAACAATTCATAACTTTAGAGATTCATTAATTATATGTTTTTGATATAGTTATTTTTTGTGGGGAGTTATTTATAGAAGTTTCTCTCTCTCCTTCTCCCTCTACCAGGCTCCCTAAAATTCCCTGACCCTATAACACTTTTGCTACTAGTAACGTTTAGATAAACTTCAGTGAAATGACTCTTCAGGAATTGGTGCATCAAGCTGCCTCCATTTACTCCGATAAAATAGCTGTATGTTTTGATGAATGTAATGACCAGCCTCCAGTTTATTACACCTACAAGAATCTGATCAGTGCTGCTTCAGAATTATCAAATTTTCTGCTATTACACTGCGACTTTCAAGGCATTCGTGAAATTGGTCTCTACTGCCATCCTGGGATAAACGTACCCTCTTGGATTTTAGGGTAAAATGTTTTAGAACTAAAAATTTGTAATTCTTTAATACACAAGATATATTACAGATTATTGTTCTGTTTACCATTGAATTTTTCTGTATTGCTTGCTCAATTCTAGAGAGGCTAAAGGAGTTCATATTTCCCCTATGATTATTTTTAATTAATTCACCTGAGCTATTTAGAAGAGACTAGAAGTTTTCACTAATAGAACATTTAAATTTCTCCAAAATATAAGGCCTTCATTTGTCTGCCATAGGAAAAATCATAAATTCTGTTGTTAGATAAAAGAAAACAAGTATTTTAAAATTAATGTGAATATATTTTTTCCTCTAAGACAAGCTTTAGGTGTTCAAGTATTCAGTAAGTGAATGAATACATAATTGAGAGTTTTAGATAATACTCCATAAAAAATGATATATGGATTGAAGAAGATACTAATTCAAACAAATATTTTAAAATGTTCAGTTATTTAAGATCTAGAATATTATTTTCATATAGTGATGATTTCTCTATTAGGGTTCTGCAGTACTTAAAATCATAAAGAATTAGAGATGTTGATATCCTATAGTATGTATGTTAGCAGATTAATTATATAAATGCAAAACAAAAAAAAATTTTAATTTTTTTATTCAGTCATTGACATAAATTGAGAATGTAGTATGTGCAAAGATCTAGTGTCTCCAAAGTGTACTCCAAAGTGCTTTTAGGTAATACAACTAACATATTTGATTTGATTTTTGTAAGTATTGCTACTTACAAATCTATTTTAAAGTTTTTTTTTCCCCCTTTCAATTATTCTGGTTTTGGTGAAATATGTCTTTTTAGTATGCAGATTAATTGACTCTGCATACTAATAAGTTGCATGTGGATATTTACCTTGTTTTATGTTACTCTACATTAGATTAAGAAATAAGAGTCTGCTGCCTGTTTGGTATCATAGTAAGCCTGTTTACTGTAATACATGAGCTTTAAAAAAATCTTAGATTTATCTGAATTAGATAATCGGAATTTAATATGAGAATTTTTGATAAAGCAATTATAAAGTATATAGAGAAATAGAAATGTTTAAAGATTATTTTCAACATATTGATGCTGAATGTATACTTTGTTTCTTTAGAATTATCCAAGTCCCTGCTGCTTATGCTCCCATTGATCCAGATTCACCACCAGCATTATCAACTCATTTTATGAAAAAATGTAATCTAAAGTACATTCTTGTTGAAAAACAGCAAATTAATGTAAGTGTATATTGTTAAATGTTTTTTATGTGTTACATTTATCTTTCAATTGATAAAGGCCTTTCCTTTATCCCCTTTTGATTTCTAAGTTTGCTAACTCTGTAGGATGTCTCAGCATTGTTGACATTTTGAATTGGGTAATTGTTTTTCTGTGAGGAGTGTCCTGTACATTATAAGATGTTTAGCAACATCCTGGTCTCCGGCCACCAGATGACAGTAGAATCTTACAATTCTGACAACCAAAATTGTCTCCTGATATTGCCAAATGTCTGCTGGCACTCTGCCCTCTACCCCCCACACTCTGTTGAAAAACACTGCTCTATGGCATGAACATATCTTCTGGCTTTATTATCATGTATTTGAATTTCCTTTCTCTTTCCAAAGAGAAAATTTTATAATACTTGAAACTTTTATTTTTCCACTAAAGGCCTGATGCATGAAATTCATGCAAGAGTAGGCCTTCCTTCCCCCTACTGCCAGCACCGGCTTCCCTCCAGCACCCAGGCTCCCCTTTCAGAGGGAGACCACCAGTCAGCGACCTGAACCTCCCTCTGCGGTTGCAATTCATGGGGTGATGGCTGGGCCCCTGATCCCTCGCATCACATCTGCCTTGGCACCAGTGGGTGTCATAGCGAGGTCCTGGATGGTTGTTCTGTTGTTCAGCTGTTTGGTCAATTTGCATATTAGGCTCTACAGACTGTGCTATTGCCACCTTCATTTGGATCAGGCTGGCATGAAATTCATGCACTTGGGGGTAGGGGTAGGGGTACAGTGGGTAGAACCCCTCTACAGCATCGGTTCTCAACCTGTGGGTTGCTAGCGGGGTCGCCTAAGACCATCGGAAAACACAGATATTTACATTACCATTCATAACAGTAGGAAAATTACAGTTATGGAGTAGCAATGAAAATAATGTTATGGTTGGGGGTCACCACAACATGAGGAACTGTATTAAAGGGTCGAGGCATTAAAAAAGTTGAGAATCACTATTCTAGTCAGTTATGCTTAGCCTTCTCAGTTCCTATATTTGATTATCACACTTACCACATTGTACTGTAGTTGTATGTTTTTTGGGGGGTTTTTTTTGGTGTTAATCCTCACCCAAGGATATTTTTTCCATTGATTTTTTTTTTTTTTTTTTTTTTTTTTTTTAAGACAGAATGGAACGGGGAGAGACGGAGAGAGAGAAACATTGATGTGAGAGAGACACATCGATTGGTTGTCTCCTGCATGTGCCCCAACCAGGCAGGGATCAAGCCTGCAATCAAGGTACATGCCCTTGACTGGAATAAAACCCGGGACCCTTCAGTGCTGCAACCACTGAGTCAAACCAGTTAGGGCATGCGATTGGGTGTTTTTATATGTCTGTTTATTTTAAAGGTGAGTTTGAAAATAAGGACAGCACTTTACTCTTGGAAGTTTTTATTTTATTTTTATCTCAAAAAACACACACACACACACACAACAATTACAAAGCCATAATGAGCCCAGCTGGTGTGGCTCAGCAGTTGAGCCTCAATCTATGAACCAGGAGGTCACAGTTCTATTCCAGGTCAGGGCTCATGCCTGGCTTTCATACCTTGATCCCTGGTAGGAGTGTGCAGGAGGCAGCCCATCAGTGGTTCTCTCTCATCATTGATGTTTCTCCCTCTTCCTCTCTAAAATCAATAAAAAATATCTATACTAATAAAAGGGTAATATGCTATTTGGGGTGGACGTCTCCCGGATGCCCATCCAGACATCCATCTGGACAAAGCCATATCTGCTGTGAGGGCCTAGGGCTGGCACTGCGCGGGAGAGGGGGGCGGGTCCAGTGCCACAGGGGAGAGGCGGCCAGTCTGGTGCCACCAGTCCAGCGCTGCAGCACCTTTTGCAGAGGTGGCGAGCAGTGCCCGTGCCCCCTTCCACAGCGGTGGCCGGGGACAGGCCATGGCGCAGCCTGGTCCCAATGCTGCTCCTTCCACAGAGGCAGCAGCGCGGGCCCAGTCAAGGCGCCATGCCTTTGCAGAGGCTGGACAGGGTGCAACCTGCTGTGCCTCAACCTCCCACAGCCCCTCCCCCAGCTGGCCTGGCCCCAGATCGCCCCCCTATCAGTGGGCGGGGCCAGTGCTAAGAAGCGAGGGCCGAGGGCTGGCAGCTGCAGTGGCCAGCAGTGGCAGCAGCAGCGGGTGATGGGGGCAGCGCCTTCCCCTGTTCAGCTCAGTTGCCTCCCACAGAGGAGGACATCCCCTGAGAGCTCCTGGACTGTGAGAGGGGGCAGGCTGGGCTAGGGACCCTCCCATGTGCACGAATTTTCGTGCACTGGGCTTCTAGTTTTAAAAATAAACTGCTATAATGAATGAATAAATGAATACTTTATATTACATTTATGCAAAAAAATAATGTCTTTTTAACATTGGAAATTTTCTCCATTTAACAGAAATTCAAGTCTTCCTATGAAATATTATTGAACTATGATACACTTACAGTAGAACATAATGACTTAGTACTCTTCAGACTTTATTGGAAAAATATTGAGGTGAACTTGATGGAAAATGATAGAAGAGAGAAATACGAAAAAGATAAAGTGGTAAACAGCACCAGTTCTGAGAAAAGCAATGAAGAAAAGCCAGAAGAGCATATGGATGTGAGGCTAAAGCATTGTCTAGCCTATGTTCTCCATACATCAGGCACCACGGGGATACCTAAGATTGTCAGAGTCCCTCATGCATGTATAGTGCCGAACATCCAACATTTTCGGTAAGTTCTGTGCTTGGAGTCCCTTTTCAGAATTTGCAATCCCCACATTATCAAGGGTTAACTATATAAGTTTTATGTGACACAGGACCCTTCATAAGGAATGAAGACCCAAGGAGATGGCAAAACTGCTTGCTTTTAGTATATTAGATTGAGCAAAGAGTCAGTTGTGGAAAAGTGACTAAGATGTGGGGAGGCTAAGGAAAGATAAGAATTATTATTATTATTTTTTTAATGATAGACACTTTAAAAAAAAATCTTTATTGATTTCAGAGAGGAAGGAAGAGGGAAAGAGAGATAGAAACAGCAATGATGAGAGAGAATCATTGATTGGCTGCCTCCTGCATGTCCCCTACTGGGGATCAAGCCCAAAACCTAGGCATGTGCCCTTGACCAGAAGGGACCTGGGACCCTTCAATCTGCAAGCTGACACTCTATCTACTGAGCCAGATCAGCTAGGGCAAGAATTATTTTAACAAGGTCTGTTTGTATAGGATTTTCTGAGTCTCATGTTCTAGTTCTTAATGATAAGAATGTTACTTTCCTTCTGTAGGGAGGAAATCTTTGAGAATTTCAGCTCCTGCTTTTATGGGGGCAGGGAGTAAAGATCAGAGTGTTTGTATATACTGTTTTTCAAGGGCCTTTAACTCAAACCAGTCAATATGCCAGAGCAGCATATTTTGGGATGGCAGGTTTTGAACTCCATCATTAAAAGTTAAAATTAGAAGGCATATGTACCTAATTTGGTAGGGAAAAGGGAGGCGGGAAGGCTTCTGTGGGAAGAACAAATAAGTTTCTTTATGAAAGATAAAAGAGATAAGAAATTTTGTGATAATGTAGTTTGTGCCGGTGAGAACAGTCTGCTGCTTCAGGGCCATGGAACTCCCTGCAGAGAGAATATGGTAGGTTTACTCTTCTGTCCTTGCTGGAAGTGAAAGACCCTGAGGAAGTCTGTGACAGCCTCCTTTCCCAGAAGCTGCTGTTAGTCTGGTAAGGAATACTCTATGAAGGCTTTTTGTTTGTTTGTTTGTTTGTTTGTTTGTTTTTTGTATCTGTTGAATCCAAGATGTCTTCAGCTTAAAATAATATTTATATCAATTCTGGGGTTCTGAATGGATCCCCACAATACCATACTTGAAGATATTTTGAAGTTAAGGTAATCCCTGCTTTTAGATAGTGGGTTTTGTGTGTTCAAACTGAAGTATTGTAGTGCCATAGGCTCAACACAGACTGACCATGCTCTATAATATTCTAACCACATACTAGTATATTCTATTATGCTCTTTGATCAGCTACTGAGAGAAAATTCCAAGTACTGTAGTGGGAAAAAGGGAGTCAGAGGTCTCTATTAAGCATCAGTGAGTAAGTATTATAGGATAGAATAAGTCCAGATTCCTACCAGGCTTGATTCCCAGTCGAGGGTGTGCAGGAGGGAGCTGATCAGTGCTTATCATCATTGATGTTTCTGTCTCTCTCCCTCTCTTCCTATCTGAAATCAATAAAAATATATTCTTTTTTTTTCTTTTTTTAAGAAGAGTTCTACAATTAATAGCACCATATTGGTTAATGCAAATTAAAGAATGAAAATCTGGCCATCACCCAAAACCTTAATGGTCATAACTACTTTGTTAGGATATGTTTTTACTAAAGAAATATTAGACATTTCTCATAGTTATATTCTGCTTTGCCTTAGGGTACTTTTCGAGATCACACAAGAAGATGTTTTATTTCTAGCTTCACCTCTGACCTTTGATCCCTCAGTTGTGGAAATATTTGTTGCTCTATCAAGTGGTGCCTCTCTGCTTATTGTACCAACTTCTGTCAAAGTGCTCCCATCGAAATTAGCTGCTGTTCTCTTTTCCCGTCACAGAGTGACTATTTTGCAGGTACATTTTAGGAGCAAATGAAATATTTAGTCCTTCATGATTCAGTATTTTAAGTGTTTTAGAGAATATTTTGCATTCCTGCAATTCTTTACAATGGATTAATGGTAATCTAGTTAGGTTATCAAAGGCTATCTCCTGATTATCTCACTTTTTTTGTTTGAGAATGTAAAAAAACGAATCAGTTAATTCTGGCTAGAAAATTATTTTATTGTATATTTTATATATGTTGTTATAAGTAGAAGAACTTGGCTTTTACTCAGATCGTTGGGGATTATGCTGTCTTTCCTGTCTTAAAGTTTAAGTTTATTGTATTTCTCACTACTAATTTAAGTATGTTAAATTATAATTGAGTTAGACATTTTTGAAGATTTAAAAAATATATACCTGAAGGTATGTTACTGCTACACAAGCTTTAAGATAGTAATTACAAGTAGTTAGGTACTGGAGAGAAATAACAAAATTACCGTATTTTTCGGACCGTAAGACGCACCAGTTTTTAGAGAAGGGAAATGAAGAAAAAAAAGATTCTGAAACAAATAGTGTCCTAAAATATTTTATGTGCATTAAAACCCCAACATCACAGTCATAAACACATGTAATCAACCCTGTAAAGTAAACAGCAGCATTTAGAACCATTTTAGAGCCAGGCAAGCACACAGAGACCACACAGAGCCGGGCAAGTAAAAAAACTTTTTTTTAAAAGTATATGTGTAGGCTATATTTGGACCATAAGATGCAGGGACTTTTCCCCCCCACTTCTGGGGGGGAAAAAGTGCGTCTTATGGTCCGAAAAATACGGTATATGCATATCATGCTAGACTAAAATTACCAGTTTTATATCAAGTATAATAAGACTCAAGAGGATTTCTGCCCAAAACACAAAATTTGATATTAATTTTTTTTTTTTTTTGGCAATGTGTTTTCCATCCTAAAAAAGACCAAAACACACACACATATACACACACACACACACACACATACATATATATACATGTATATGTATATATATTCATTCACAGAATGACTCACCAACAGATGAGAATTTATATCCGTTGATATATTGCTGTACTCATCTATAATAATAAAAGCATAATATGCTAATTAGAGCGAATGTCCTTCTGGACAAAGATGGGGCTGCGAGGGAAGCCCGGATCCCGGGTGCCAGAGGGAAGCTGGTGCCGGCAGCCGGGGGAAGGAAGGCCTACTCTTGCACGAATTTCGTGCATCTGGTCTCTAGTTTCATTTATATATCTCTCTGTGTGTGACATTTCATTACAGCAGCCTGAACAGAAGACTAAGTAAGACCACATAGGATAATCACAAAATATTTATGTTGCGTGAAAGAAGCCAGGTCAAATCAGAATACATGTTGTATGTTTACATTTTTATATAATTCTACAAAATTCTAAATGATCATTAATGACAGAAAATATATCAGCAGTTAATCTGGGGAAGGGTTCTAGTTGAAGGGAGGAATGGTACATAGGTAATTTTAGGATATATGTTAAGATAAACCTAGGTATATGTTTATTATTTGGATTGTGATGATTTCACAGATATATCTGTATATCTATATCTCACAATTTATATTGTATACTTTAAATATGTACAATTTATCATATGTCAGTTATACCTCAATAAAACTGTTTTTAAGAAGTTCATGTTGTTATTCTTAGGCATTTTTTTTAACCCATTTTATATACTTTTGCATAGAGATAATGGAAAAAGGAATGTAAATTGATTTTATAGATTTTTGTGATTTTTATCTATAAACCTTTTTGTCCAAACTATGAAATGTAACTAGTACTTTTCTTCAAGTTTTTGGCTAAAGCAAAATTTATATCCACTTTAAAAAGATACTAATGCTTCCTCAGGAGTTTTCCAGCTTTGATTTGCCATATAATAAACAAAGGCTTAATTTCCATGTGGGCTTCAAATGTTAAGCTTTGAACTGATTATTGCATTATTTATTTTTTTTAAGATGCGAAGGGAAGAAATCATTATTTTTATGTATCTACAGGCAACACCGACATTGCTTAGAAGATTTGGATCTCAGCTTATCAAATCCACTGTTTTATCAGCCAGTACTTCTCTTCGAGCATTAGCCCTTGGTGGTGAAGCTTTCCCCTCACTGACTGTTCTCAAAGGCTGGAGAGAAGTAGGCAATAGAACACAAATATTTAATGTTTATGGGATCACAGAGGTATCAAGTTGGGCGACTTTTTACAGGATTCCAGAAGAGATTCTTAACTCTACTTTGAAGTAAGGGTTTTAATTACTAAACCGGGTAGAAAGAAACTGTTTTTCCAGTATCTTAACGCTAATAGTGTTTTGATAGGCACTGGGATAATAATTTTAGAACACTATGTTATCTGAAATTTTAAGCTGGGAGTCCAGAACCTTTCTTATTATAATTGGTGCTATAGATCCTGCTAGAACTTTTTGTGACTAAACAGCAAGAAATAACAGATCTAACCTTTTCCTCTTTGCAGTCTTTGAATTAGAGCATCATAAAAACTTTTTGTTTCTCTATTTGATACTGTGATTTAAGTACATTAGAAAATATTCTATTTAAATGAAAACTTTTAAATCTGGTTTGGGTTGTGTTTTCACAGATGTGAATTGCCTATTCAACTGGGATTTCCACTGCTGGGAACAGTGGTTGAAGTCAGAGATACTAGTGGTTTCAGAATTGAAGAAGGCACTGGCCAAGTATTTTTAGGTTGTTTTATATTTATTGATAGGGAATGATTTTCTTTTTCAAGAAAAAAAAAAATCTGTATTACTTTTATTTCCCCAAGTTTTTCTTATGTTGAGTATCCTTTTCAGTGATGACAATTTTAAATCTCAGTCTCATCTCAGTGGTGAAACATTAAATAAGTTACCATAATTATTTCAGATAACAGTGTCTAAGGGAAGATATAAGAGTAACTTAGAAACTGTTACTTGGACCTTTATATTTGTAGCTAAAGTTCTATTTAATCAGAGTTGTTAGACTTTTTAAAGTCACATCTATGATTTTAGAAACAAATTTTTTTATAATTTTACTTGTGGTTATTATCTCTAATTTTATAGCATTTAAAAGTGAGCCCCCTTTTCTTATAAATATTAAAAATTTGAGTAACTGAACTTTTGGGGATATCATTGAGTTGATGGTTTTAATATATTTTCCATGCACTTTTTTATTATTACATTGATGTTTATATCTGTGGAGGTGGCAGAAACAGAGTATGTTTTCTGGATGGCGAAGTGACAGTACCCCTTGGCACAATGCGAGCCACAGGTGACTTTGTGACTGTGAAAGATGGAGAGTTATTCTTCTTGGGACGAAAGGACAGTCAGATCAAACGTCACGGCAAACGTCTTAACATTGAACTTGTGCAACAGGTAGAATTATTTAAATATTAAGTATCTACTAATATATACAGATATTAGAGGCAGTCACCAATAATTATCTATGCCAGGATTTTCTGTCACTATCATTTAAGCCTAAGATTTTTGTAAAAGTGATGAATTACAATAATAGGTATGAATAATTCAGCATGTCCTTTATTGCCATCATGAAGTGACAAACTGGATTTTGTTAACTGAATATTAATTGGCTTATTTTATTATAAAAGCTATTATTATTTTTTTAAAATATATTTTATTGATTTTTTTACAGAGAGGAAGGGAGAGGGATAGAGCGCTAGAAATATTGATGAGAGAGAAACATCCATCAGCTGCCTCCTGCACGTACCCTACTGGGGATGTGCCTGCAACCAATGTACATGCCCTTGACCGGAATCGAACCTGGGACCCTTCAGTCTGCAGACCAACGCTTTATCCACTGAGCCAAACCGGTTTTGGCAAAGCTATTATTATTTTTTTAATGAATTAATTTATTTTTTTAATTATTATCTGTGTACATATTTTAACATTGCCCCCCCTCCCATACATATCCTCCCTCCCCAGAGTTTTGTGTCCACTGGTTGTACTTTATAAGAGATCAACCAAAGGACTTGTATACATGCATATAAGTACAACCAAAGCTATTATTTTTGAAAAAAATTTAAGAGCCCTGTGTTTTCATAATAGTAATAGCAAAATAAAAAAAAAGTCTCTAAGTGTATTTCACAATTTAATTTGACTGTTGATTTCAGGCATGATAAGTTTGAGCATATAGGAAGTTTGTTTTTAAATGGCCTCATTGGGACTTAAGAACACAAATAGTGAGTGGAGTGTGGTTGCCAGAGGGAATGGGGTGGGGGGAGAAGGAGGTCCTAATATAAGGTGACAGGGAGAAGATTTGACTTTGGGTGGTGGGCACACGTGCAGTATACAGATCTTGTAACATAGAAACCCACACCTGAAACCAACTATATGTTGACCAATGTTCCCCAGTCAATGTAATAAATGAAATAAAATAACAATGTCCTCATTGGTAAATTGGGATAATCTCTCTCATAGGTTGCTGAAGGACTTCAACAAGTGGAGTCATGTGCAGTTATATGGTATAATCAGGAAAAATTAATTCTGTTCGTGGTGTCAAAAAATGTGATAGTAAAGAATTACATCTTTAAAGAACTAGAGACACATCTTCCAAGCCATGCAATCCCAGATGAGCTTGTGCTGATTGATTCTCTACCATTCACATCTCATGGTAAAATAATTTAAAGCAGATATGGTTTAGTGCCAAAAGATACTAATTGTTTTCATAAGTATTTAAAGGCCATGTAAATCCTTTTTATAAGTAATAGAATATAATGTGGTAAACACTCAGTTAAATGCTTTGTATAATTAACTCATTTTATTTCCAGAAAATCTTGTGAGGAGGTATTATTTGCAGATGTGGAAAGTAAGGCTTAAAGAGAACAAGTAATTTTCACATTGCTGGTTACTGGTAGAATTGAAGTTGGGTTTAGAATTGCTTAACTTTAAAACATTTGCTCTTGATTACCATATTATATTGCCTTCCCAATTTTATCTTTATGTAGTATTTACTTCAAAATGGAATAATTGTTTGATTAATAGTGACCTTTCTTTAACTCTTTAAATGAGGGACATTAATCTTATTTCTTATCTGTGTATTCATTACCCATTACATTCTGGTTAGCACGGTACTACTTTCTTTAGAACTAATTGTCTATGAGAAACTGTTTGATAGGATTTCTAACCTTTACACTGAAAAATGTATGTATTCTTGTGACTAACGAAGATTTCAGTATAAAATTTAAAAGTATTTCTCTTTCATATAAAGGCAAAATTGATGTTTCCGAGTTAAACAAGATCTATTTAAACTACACAAACTTGAAGTCTGAGCATAAGCTTAAAGGAAAAGAGGAACTTTGGGGGAAATTACAGCATTTGTGGAAGGTACACTTTTTAAGATACAAACTTGCTGTTGTGAAGAGGTCATTTAATATCTTTAGGGAATGACCACTGTAATAAGTCAGAAAAAAATTTCTAAGAATGTTATTGCTGCCCAGGAGGTAAGAAGTATAGCTTCATTTATTCACTTTGTATTAAAATAAGGGCTATTTTTTCTACCGTAAGTTCCCAATAAAGAAATTTACTGGAAGTGAGGTAATCATAAAAGGAATAATTAGACAAAACCTATCTTTTTTTAAAAAAAATATATATTTTATTGATTTTTTTTACAGAGAGGAAGAGGAAGGGATAGAGAGTTAGAAACATCAATGAGAGAGACTCATCAATCAGCTGCCTCTTGCACACCCCCTACTGGGGATGTGCCCGCATCCAAGGTACATGCCCTTGACTGGAATTGAACCTGGGACCCTTCAGTCTGCAGGCCGACGCTCTATCCACTGAGCCAAACCGGTTTCAGCAACAAAACCCATCTTGACATAACTTCCTCCTAAAAGGGCCAGTGGAGTATAGTAACACTTTTGTCAAGAGTTTAGAAAATAGCTAAATTTGCTCTACCATAATCTATTGTATAAGGGATTATTACATCATTATTCAAGAAGTACATGAGTGTTTCTGCCTAAAGGAATTTATATGTAAACATAAAAGTTTATATATTTATATATAAATATATATAAATTCTGATTTAATTTCATAGACTAATGTTCATATTTATGAAAATTTTTGAAATATATATGTATTTTTTATTACAACCATAATAAGTCAATACAATTTTTCTTAGACAAAATGTGGAGTTTTTCTAAGGGGTTCTGAAAAGAGGGTGTAATTATGTGTGGTGTTGTCTGAAAATAAGTATATCTAGATAAGAGTCTTAATCCACTTTATTTTTAAATTTTAGCAAATATTTTTTATTTATATGAAGCAAATGAAGATAAACATTATTCTAATAGAAATATCAGATATTAGTAACTTTATAAATAGTGAGTCGGATGTTTTTATAATTCTCCCTATTTTATGATTAGGGAAACTGCTCAAAGGGAAGTGTAATTTGAAGTTTTAGAGTGAGTTTGTGACAAAATAGTAGCATAAAGGTGGTCTTTACTATAAAGAACATTTTAAATTTGTTTAATTATTAAAAATATTTTGTGTGTCTTACGTTCATTTCATTAATATATCATAGATACTATATATATATATATATATATATATATATATATATGCCTGTAAATGTTGAATTCTTTTGGTTTTTGTCCTTTATTTTACCATATTTCTCTCTTCTCTCATTTGTAGTCTATTCTAAGTCTCTCAGAAGATCCTTTGAAGGTTCCTGATGAGTCACTCTTTTTAAATAGTGGTGGAGATTCCTTGAAGTCCATACGGCTCCTCAATGAGATTGAAAAACTTGTTGGCACATCAGTACCTGGGCTCCTGGAAATGATCCTTAGCAAACCCATTTTAGAGATTTACACTCACATCCTTCAAACAGTGTTTCCAGATGAAGATCTGACATTTTGTGAGAATTATGCCACTAAAAGAAAATTCAGCAACGTTAATCAAGAGGAAACCAGTGGAAAATTTTTACCTCAGAAGTCAGACATGCCTTTAAATTTAGACAACGGGATAAATGCTTTTATTGCCCTGAGCAGAGGGAGTCAGATTTTGTCTATGAATGCTACTAGGTTTTTAACTAAGTTAAAACATTGCCCTTCGGCCTGTTCTTCTGATTTAATTTCACAGACTGCTATTAAAAAAGTGAAAAGCTTAAATCCTCCAGCTCTTCTTGGGAAGTCAAAAGATACAACCTGTGTTGAAAAAGTTTGTGAAGATGGAACATCTGTGAAAAGGGCTGAGACAATGGAATTACGTGTCAGGTGGAGGGCAGACACAGGCAAATGTGTAGATGCTTCGCCTCTCATCGTAGTACCAGCTGTTGATGAGTCATCTGCAACTGTGTTCATTGGCTCCCATTCTCACAGAATGATGGCGGTTGACCTTTACTCTGGGAAGGTGAAGTGGGAACAGCTTTTGGGAGATCGAATTGAATCCTCAGCATGTGTATCTAAGTGTGGAAACTTTATTGTAGTAGGTAAGTTGGGTAAGTTTCTGAATTTGAGGTGATATAGTTAAACTTAATTACCATATGATACTACTAGTTAGGACTAACAAATAATTGGGGTGGGGGGGGAAACTTGTGTATGGTGGATTAGTGTTGTCAAAGAAGAATAATTCACTGTGTGCTGATTCTCACAGAGTGGGCCATGGGATCAGAGTCCCTGGATTTGAACCTAGCTATAAAGCTGTTACCAGCTCTGTGACCTTTGACAAGTTGCTGAATCTCTTAGAACTTCAGTTTTCTCTTTAGTTTATGGCATAATTAATAGAACATGTTGCTGTATCACAAGTTATCTCAAAACTTAATGGTAGAGAGTGATGGGCCAGTGCCCAATGGAAACCTGGGTGATCTTTGCTTTGTAGATTTTGACTACCCACACTTCCAATTGGGTTATTTTGGCTACACCGAGTCAGGGACACCTGCCCTATGTTCTCATCCATATCAGCAGTTTGGGAAAAGCAGTCTGTATTGCTGTTAGGAGCACAGGCTCAGGAGATTGATTTCTTAGGTTCAAAATCTCTCCCATATATTAGCTGAGTAGTTCTGCTCTGGTAACTTAATTTCTGTGCTTCAATTTTGTCATCTGTAAAATGTATAGATAATAGCCCTTGCTTCGTTGTGAGAATTACATGAGTTAATAGACGTAAAATTTTTAGGATAGCACCCTTCACAAGGTAAAAGCTCAGTAAACTTGGGCTATTGTTTTTTGTTTTGTTTTGTTTTTGTTTTTTTAATATATTTTATTGATTTTTCACAGAGAGGAAGAGAGAGGGATAGAGAGTTAGAAACATTGATGAGAGAGAATCATCAATCAGCTGCCTCTTGCACACCCCCGCACCCCCCACACACACTGGGGATGTGCCCGCAACCTAGGTACATGCCCTTGACCGGAATCGAACCCGGGACCTTTTTAGTCTGTAGGCCGACGCTCTATCCACTGAGCCAAACCGGCCTCGGTGGCTATTGTTAATGTTAGCATTTTTTGAACACATTTGCACTGGGTGTTTATTCACATTATATTATCTTAATTGTCACAATAACCCTGGGAGTAGATGTATACACATTCAGCAGAAAAATAATCTGAGGCTCAGCGATACTGGGTAATTTGCTCAAGGATGCCCATGACAGGATTTAAGTCAGCTGTCAAGCCTCTCTCCACTGCAGCTGGCTTCATTGTTTCATTAGAGGTGAAGCACTTCATGATAAGGTGCCGTTCTGTCAGAGTGCTTCCGTAAGTTGAGTGTCATCACATGTACTGAAAAGTTGCCGGTTCAATTCCCAGTCACAGCACATACCTGGGTTTTGGATTCAGCCCAGGTCAGGGCACAAAGGCAACCAATCAATGTTTCTCTTCCTCTCCCTCTCCCTCTCCTATCCGCTCTAAAATAAAAAAATGTGTGTGTGTGTGTGTGTATATAAATTTTTTTTAAAGGTGTACCTACTAAATGGTATTTTACACAAGTGATTACTGTTCATTGTTTCTGCCTTACGTTGCTGAAATTTAAATTTGAGCTGAACATAGAGCCCAAGTACACATGAAGAGTAATATAAAATTGCCATGATTTAGGCTAAAGAATTATTTTCCAGTGGGATGTATAAATCTAATCTTTTACATTTTGTTTCCCAACAGGCTGTTATAATGGGTTAGTTTATGTCCTAAAAAGTAAAAATGGAGAAAAACACTGGGTGTTTACTACTGAGGATGCTGTCAAAAGCTCGGCAACCATGGATCCAACCACAGGATTCCTTTACATTGGCTCTCATGACCAGCATGCATATGCTTTGGATATTTATGTAAGGATTTGCCTCATCAGTTTCATATGAGGAAGAGTGTCAAACTGTCAGATGCTCTTGACTGAGGGAGCAGGTGTTAACTATTTTCCAAGTTTAGCATTGTGGTCTTAGAAGAATAAAGAGTTAATAACAGTCATACCTTAAAACTCGCTTACCTAATTTTCACAAATCCATTTGCTATTCAGAGTTTTGAAATACAAAGAACTTGGAATCATCATCTTGACAATAGAAAATAGTTACAAAGGAAAATATCGATAAGACCTGATTACATAAAAATTTTTAAAAATTTATAATTACACAATTTAGAAGTAGTAAGTTGGGAGGGATGGAAATAAATATGACAGACAAAACTAATTTATAAGTATGAATGAAGATAAAGAACAAATGCAAGTTTATAAGAAAAGATCCAGATAGGAAAATAGGGGACTCCAAGAAGAAATGGCTAGTAAATGTATTTAAATATTCTAATTTTTTAATGATCAAAGGAATGAAAATTAAAAACAATGAGAGAAATAAATGGTATTAGATTAGAATGATAGCATTAATACTGAGGTTGCGACTAGTGAAAGCCTCTGGGGAAAACAATTTGGCTATAGATAACAATTTCATATCCTTTGAATCAGTAAAACTTCTGGGAATCTATCCTGGCAAAATAATCAGAAACATGATCCCTATGTTCATAGCAGCACAACTTACAATAGCTAAGATTTGGAAACGGCCTAAGTGCCCATCAGCAGATGAGTGGATTAAAAAACTTTGGTACATCTACACAATGGAATACTATAAAAAAGAAGGAACTTTTACCAATTGCAACAACATGGGTGGAACTAGAGAGCATTATGCTAAGTGAAATAAGCCAGTCAGAGAAAGAAAAATACCATATGATCTCACTAATGAACATAATTTGATGAATAAGAATAGATCCAGAGACAAATGGCAGGGGAGAGGGTGGTTAGAGAACAACCAAAGGACTTGTATTCATGCATATTAGTATAACCAATGGCACAGACAGTGGTGAGGTGGGGGCTTGGGTGGGGTGGGGGAGGGAGGAGGTCAATTGGGATTTTTTTTTAACATATCAATTTACAAAGAGATATGTAAAACTTTAGACAATTAAAAAAAATCAGAAACATGGAGAAATATGTGCATCATGATGTCTATTTTCAGATTGTTTATAATGACAAATTAATTCCAAACACTTTTTAATGGTAAAGTAGTGAGATAAATCACTTTATTTTTGTATGGAATATTGTGCATTAAAGTAAATTTAAAGAGAAAAATTAGATACCAAGTGTATATTCAGAATGATCTCAACTATCTTAAATTGTGTGTGTGTATGTGTGTGTGTGTGTGTGTGTGTGTGAAATCAAAGGGAAAATGCTGAACTGTTAACAGTTGGTGGTCTTGATCTTTATGCTAACTTGATTTGCCACAGCAAACATGTATTACTTTTATATTAAAAATAAAATAAAAACTTGCCCTGGTTGGTGTTGCTGAGTGATTAGAACTCTGGCCCACAAACCGAGGGGTTGCAGGTTCAATTCCCAGTCAAGGACGCATATCTGGGTTTCAGGTTCGATCTCTGGCCATGGGCAACCAATTGATGTGTCTCCCTCACATCCATGTTTCTTTCTTCCTGCCTCCCATTCTCCCTTCCACTCTCTCTCAAAATCAATGGGGAAAAAATGTCCTCGTAAGGATTAAAAAATAATAAAAGTAAAAACTTAATTAAATATTTAACAGATGGGATATGTGAATTTGTTAACCACCAGCAGAAACCAATTAATTTGCTTTCTCATTTGCAGGAAAAGAAGTGTGTTTGGAAGTTACAATGTGGAGGAACTATCTTTTCTTCGCCTTGTTTGAACTTGATTCCATATCACTTGTATGTTGCTACCCTAGGAGGACTTTTACTGGCTGTAAATCCTGTAGGCATAAAATAATTTATATTGATTTTGTTACCTATTTTTCTTTAATATTCTTTATTTTTATTCTGAATTATGAAAACTGGAGTAGTTTTGGTTAGCCAAAGCCCAGATATCACTAAACCAGAACTCATTAAGAATGACTGACTAACGTCTGGAAAGCTGACAGAAATTAAGATCTATGCATGTCTTTTATTTTTTTAATTGACAGAATTTTCTCATTCACACTAGAAGTTAGGATGTCCTAAGGATAAATATGTGCTAGTTATTTCTTTCCTGGCTTTAGTGCAAGTTTTATCTCAGCTCTCTTAGATAGCACTGATTGATTTTATAGCTGTGTAAATGTGTATTAGCCTCGTTTATATCATAATGTCATTATAGCATTTTCTGATGTTGTATAGCTTTGCCTCCTAGAAAGGCAATTGATTAGAAAGATTGAAATGCTATGAACTGCTTTTTGCCCACGACAGGCCACTGGAAATACAGTTTGGAAACATGGCTGTGGAAAACCACTCTTCTCTTCTCCAAGGTGTTGCCTGCAGTATGTTTGCATTGGCTGTGTAGATGGGAATTTACTTTGCTTTACTCACTTTGGAGAACAGGTAAATTTTTCTGGTTCTATTTTATGTGTCTTTCTCAAAGGAATAGTAGTTGGTGACAACTGAAGTAAAATTTTAAATGTCATTATTCAATTCATGTTAAAAACTAGTTCTGTTTTGTCAGGCCATGGGTTCCTCGCCTGAGGACATGCTAGAGAGAATAAGAGAGAGATCCTTGTGAGAGGGAAACGTTAATTGGTTGCCTTACCATATGTGCCAGACCTGGGGATCAAACACTCAACCAACGGAGCCACTCTGGCATTATACATTTCTTACGTATTTTCCGGAGTATAAGACAACCTTTGAAACGGGGGGGGAAAAAAAAAAAAAAAAAACCACGAAAATTGGGGGTCGTTCATTAAAAATTTAATTAAAAAAAAAAAACTGGTGTTGCCTCGGAAGTGAGGGATAGTCTTATACAGCGAATATAGACCTAAACCTATGTTTTAACTGTAAAATTAGGGGGTCATCTTATACGCCGGAAAATACGGTAATTTGTGAATTGGTACAATAGATTTCAAAGATTCTATTCAAACGTTGTTTATACTTGTGCTATTCCCCTCCTTCTAGTTTTTAAAAATTTACAGCTTAAAACCAATTTTATTATAACTTCTATTGAGGCTACGGAAATTTAAGAAGTCCCTGCTTTTTCTATGAAAACCAAAATCCCTGTATAACCCACGTTGCCTTGTATGGGGATACTATATTCAACTTCATGACTAGCAGGGTGGGCTCCTTCTGGGTTATATTAGATCTTTTGTTGGGAGCAGTATCTCCACTCCTTTAAGTACCTGCAAGTGACTATCATTTTGGCACAACTGCAGCTGTGGTTTTGATTTGGGGGGTTGCTTTGTGGGTTTGAGAGGGCACTAGCTCCAACATGAGTGAGCCCTTCGATGGCTAGAGTTGATTCTGTGTGCTCTTCACTCACCCCTCCTTGCCTAGCAGATTCTTTTGCTCTGTGTTACAATCACTTTTTATTTTTATTTTTAATTTATTTTTTAAAATATATTTTATTGATTTTTTTACTGAGAGGAAGGGAGAGAGATAGAGAGCCAGAAACGTCGATGAGAAACATCGACCAGCCACCTCCTGCACATCCCCCGCTGGGGATGTGCCCACAACCAACGTACATGCCCTTGACCTGAATTGAACCCGGGACCTTTCAGTCTGCAGACTGATGCTCTACCACTGAGCCAAACCGGTTTCGGCTACAATCACTTTTTAAAGTCTTTTATTTTGTTCACATAATGTTTTTATTTACAAAGTAGTTTGAATATATTCCTAAGAAGTGAGAAGAGGCAATTGCTATTATTCCCATTTATTTAGATGAACCTTAGAAAGGTTAAAGTGACTTTGTCCAAGTCAGGCACAGATCTGAGATTATATAATAAATCATACTAGAGGCTGGTGCCTAGGCCTGATCTGCAATCAGGGCCTTCTTCCCCAGCTGCCGGGGGAAGGGCCTGAGAGATGGGCTGTTCTTGCCTGCTTGCGGGCCCTGCCCCCACCACGGGTCGCCCTCAGTATGTGGGGCAACCTGCGGGGTGGGGACCTTGTCTTGGCACTGCCTGCGTCCCCTGCCACCCAATCCCGGTTCCCCGTTTGCCATCAGGCGATCTGAGCCTGCTGGCTGGGGAAAGAGACTGAGAGGTGGTCAATGCGCCTCATAGTATCTGGTCCAGTGGTGGTTCTTGTTCTGCCATTAGTATCAATTTGCATATTACCCTTTTATTATATAGGATAGAGGCCTGGTGCACGGGTGAGGGTCAGCTGATCTGCCCTGATGGGGGCCCCAGATCTGGGTGGGAGTCCCTGTTGGGGGACAGGGCCAGCTGGAGGCTTAGGCCACGGGTGGTTTGCAGGCTGGCCACGCCCCTGATTGGGGTGGGGGGTCCCTACTGGAGGGTAGGGCCAGCTGGGGTGAGAGGCCGGTAGTTCTGGTCTCTGGTCGTTCTGCCATTTCAGTTACTGGGCTTTTATTATATAGGATTTCATTAATATGCCCATTCTTTTTTTATTATTATGATTCTGTTAACTGTGCATTTGTAAACACTATCTTAGACTCATGCCTTTTCTTCAAAACTAGAGGCCCAGGACACAAATTTGTGTGGGTGGGGTCCCTAAGCCTGGCCAGTGATCGGACCAATTGGGGCTGTGGGAAGTTGGCCTGCCGGGGGAGGGGCTGCGGGAGGTTGGCCAGTGCAGGAGGTTGGCTGTAGGAGTGCACTGACCACCAGGAGGTAGCTCCTGCGATGAGCATCTGCCTCGTGGTCAGTGCATGTCATAGCGACCAGTCATTCAGTCTCTTAGGCTTTTATATATATAGATATTGGCCAACAGGTTTTAGTAGCTTTGAAATAATAGTAGATATCTACAGGTCAGACACATGTCTCATAGCTTCTTGTTTAAAGCTTTAATTATTGAACATGAACTCTTTTCAGTCCACTTCTTCCTTCTCCCTACATTAGGAGACTAAATAATATGACACAGTTTTTGATAAGATACATTGAAAACTCATTGCAGTTTTTTTTAACTCAGTGTCTTAGAACATACTTAGTAATAACTTTTGAGTGGAGTTCAAATTAATTTTATTTCATATTATACATAGTAATGACTCATGTAATAAGGATAATTTGAAATTTTGTGCTAGATTTTACCACTGGGACAGAGGTCAAATCTAAGGGTTCCACTTTTCAGAAAAAGCCATTTTTTTCCTGTGTGTAGTAATCATTCAATAGCCTACGTCTCTTACATTTTAATTAAGAATTTCATAAAGATTTAATATACAGAATTGTTGAAATGAGATGAATTAATTATTTCTGTTATAACCCTTCAGGTTTGGCAATTCTCTACCAGTGAACCCATCTTTTCATCCCCATGTCTTTCCACATCAGAGCAAGAAATATTTTTTGGTTCCCATGATTGCTTTATCTACTGTTGTACTATGAAAGGTCATCTCCAATGGAAATTTGAAACTACCTCAAGGGTATATTCAACACCATTTGCTTTCCATAACAAGTATAGCAATGAAATGTTGCTGGCAGCGGCATCTACTGATGGGAAACTATGGATCTTGGAATCTAAGAGTGGACAATTGCAAAGTAAATATGAACTTCCTGGAGAGGTATTCTCTTCTCCTGTGGTTTGGGAATCAATGCTTATTATTGGATGTAGAAATAATTATGTTTATTGTCTAGGCTTATCGGGTAGCAATAAAAAATAATCAGGTAGTCTTTATTAGAATATATCTGAGACTTTGAAAATATTTACCATTATAAAGCATGTGGATGGTCTTATTTTATGATAAAGATTATATTTTGTTTAAGAAACTTGTCTATTACACTTTATTGGAGAATAACCATATTTTATTTCCTGGAGGAGAACAATACTTTAAAAGGAGTTATAAAACAAAACATCAATATATTTATAGCACTTTCTAAAATATACTACAGGTATTTTATTTTTTTTAATAGAAGACCTCTGGAAAACAAGATCAGAATATACTTACTGGCTTAACAACTTAATCTGTGAGGTAATATACCATTCACTCATTTATACTGAGATTCATAACATGATTTTTAAAGGTAGGAGTTATTCATCAAATTAGGTTCCTTATTATTTTAAATTTTTAAAATAAAATTGGGATAGCATTGGTTAATAGCCACATATAAATTTCAGGGGTACAACTTTATGACATCTGCATACCCTATTGCGAGCTCACCACCTGAAGTCTAGTCTCCTTCTGTCACCATATATTTGACCACCTTTACCCTCTTCATCTTTCCCCTCACCCCCTTCCACTTTGGTGGCCACCATTCTGTTGTCTGTATCTGTGAGTTTGTTTGATTTTTGGTAACCACCATTCTGTTGTCTGTATCTGTGAGTTTGTTTGATCATTTATTGCTTTTGGTTTTATATCCTCCATACAAGTGAAATCATACAATTTTTGTCTTTTTCCATCTGTTTTATTTCACTTACTGTGTTTCCCTGAAATAAGACCTAGCACATGGAAAAATAAGACATCCCCTGAAAATAAGACCTAGCGTATCTTTGGGAGCAAAAATCAATATAAGACACTGTCTTATTTTCGGGGAAACAGGGTAGCATGATTCTCTCAAGATTTATCTACATTAGGTCAAATGGCAGTATTTCATCTTTTTTATGGCTGAGTAGTAGTCCATTGTATGTATGTATCACATTTAAAAAAAAAATTATGAGGAAGTTTATTTAGAAAGTTATAGAGGTAGCCTAAACTGGTTTGGCTCAGTGGATAGAGCGTAGGCCTATGGACTTGAAAGGTCCCAGGTTCGATTCCGGTCAAGGGCATGTACCTTGGTTGCAGGCACATCCCCAGTGGGGGATGTGCAAGAGGCAGCTGATCGATGGTTCTTTCTCATCGATATTTCTGACTATCCCTCTCTCTTCCTCTCTGTAAAAAAATCAATAAAATATATTTTTTTAAAAAGAAAAAAAAATTATAGAGGTAGTAAAAGTGAGCTGTAGAAGAAATGGGCTAAGGAAATGAGTTACAGGGGCAAGCGAAGGGCCCTTGGAGCTCAGGGAAGTACATGTGTTAAGATTTGAGCACCCGCTCTGGGAGGGGGGGGGGGGGAGTGCCCATGTGGTTCTTTTTTAGAGTTTAAGTATTAATCTGCAGGTGCAGGGGCCTCATGTGTGGGGGCTATGGCACCCTCCTGATCCTTCTGGAAGGGTGCTGGGGACATGTGAACACGGCCCGGCTGGTCAGCCAGAGAACCTGGATAGGACTCCTGCCCGCCATCCTGGTGCAGGGGAAATGTAAACAGTGGCACTCACCAGTCCTGCAACCTCTTACACCATCTTTGGCTTGCCTCCAAAGCGGTATTTATCTTGAGTTTTCGCACCAAGGCAAACACCTCACTCATACCTCTCTCTTGGACGTGGTCCAGCCATGGGGGCAGTAGCTCTGGCTGGAGCTCGGTGCTGTGTTTTTCACTTGCATTCAGCTTTGAAACATGCTGCTGTTCCGTCACCCACGCTCGGAGTGAGGAGGCTGTAGGACCATATTGTCTGAGACACAGACCATTTAATTCCAACTGAGGATTAAGATAAACATTTTATTTGATCCTATTCATTGGTTTTCTCCAAAAACACCTAGTAAAAAATATAACAGGTACCATATAAAATGCCTTGAAGTATTTCTTTTGCAACAAAAGCTATGTAAATATGAGCTTGCTTGAAATTAGTAAAAACATAAACTTGAAAAGGAAATTCTGTTGGTGCTACAGATCTTGTGGATATTTTTTATTGAAAGGTCCTTTTCCTTCAATAATGGACATTTTACATTAAACCTTTTATACAACCAAAATCTAAATATTAAAATCACACTAAGGTATTTTCATGGTTAAGCCTCTACTTAATTTTATTGTTGGTAAAAATATTGCAAGACACTTGTAACTCTAATATTTCTGCTTTAAAATAAGCAATTAAACTAAACGTCACAAGAAGAGACAATACATACTACAATTTGCTGACAACTGGCTAAAATGATAATTTAATAGTAATTAATGTATAAGAAACAATTGCACTTTAAAAATTTAAAAAGTAAACAAAAAAATTCTAGTTATATATATATATGTCTATGAACAGAGGTTAATCTATAACCTTGCCAAGGGAAGTGTGTGTTCGTTTTAATTAAAAACAAATAAAAGACCACCTGTGTATTTAACATTGCAATAGGATTTTTTAAAAAGTCTTGAATTTTTTATGTTTTTACAGAATTTCCCCCATAGTTTATTGAAAGTCTGCAACACAATTAAAACAAAATAACACTTCATTGGTATTTAGTGCAAATTTTGAGTAATTTTTACATGAAATATTAAACATATAGCCTTTAGAAGTTGTTGGAAGTAAATGCTGTGACATTGCTTTCCTCAGTATACTCTTCTTAAAGATTTTGAAGGAAACTTTTTAACTGAGGTATTTCTCCTATTTTGCATGGGCTTTATGGTAAGTGAGCCAGTACAGAGTGCACTCATCTACCATTCTTTGTTAATCTGATTTCTTCGTTTGCTTTCTGCCATTATTGTGACAATCCAAAACTGATAAGTTGATAGAAAAGGTCAATTCAGAAGAATTACTGTAGCACTAAAATTCCAGAACTCAGGTGAAAAAAAGGATTAAAAAGTATTGTATTAATGAGGAAGTCATTGAAACTAACAAATGTCTACGTATTTGATTTAGAAATAAATAGCTGGAAAATGTGCAGTGGAATGTTGCTTCCCATAGCAATACAAAAATTAAAGTTCCATTGATTCTTAACAGTCTGAAGGTCCAGTATACTAGTATATATATAATATTAAATCCTACTTGCAAGAGTACAGCTATCCTTATGACCACACATGCCAGCTGCTACGATAAAGCCGAGCCATCGTCTCCAGAAAGAAAATGCCTTCTATGTGGTAAATAACTGCCAGTCATCCTTTCTTTAAGGAAAATGGTAGAATAACAGCACAGAATAATAGCACATTGCCTGTTGAGTGAGCATAAAGGAAAATAATGATGCATAATAATAAAATGCGATTTTTTGAAGGAAAGGAAAAAAGGATGTAATTTTCCTTGTTCTTATACTTGGGAGTCAGGAGGTAAGAAAATGGGGATGTGCCAACACCACGAAATGTCAAATCAGCAGCAGCAATGTGTGTGTTTGCTGTATGTCTGTTTCATGTAAAGCAAATTTAGTGAAATTGTGAATATACGTGGCTTTTAAATAGCCAGGTCCCTTCTTTGTATCACATGTGTATAATAACAAGGCCACTTAAAACTCTGAGATGTTTTTTAAAGGTAGCAAGGTGAATGCTTTGAATGGTAAATGCTGTTGACTATTTGACTCCGAACATGAGTGAGTCAGTTACGGTACAGAAGGAAACTTCCCACGGGAGCTCGTAGTACAAGGCTCCAAACCTCCTTCCTGCTAACGAATCAGCTGAGGGAGGGAGGGATGGCTTGATTATTTCTCCCCTCTCACTTTTGCTTCTTTGGGTGCAATGAGTCTCCCTCTCAGAATTTTAAAATCTAGATTACAGTAGAAGCAACGTATCCCAAGGTTCTCGACCTTGGATATCTCAGAATTCATCTGAAGAGTTTTGCCAGAATCTACGTCTCTAGCCTGTCCTCACAGTAGGCCTGATGGAGCTTGGACATCTTAACAACTGCACTAGGTGGGGAGTCTCAGACAGAAAGAGAAGTTGTAGTTTCCTTTTCTTACCACGTTAAATAAAAATGTTCCCTAGGAGCCAAATGTCGGACATTCCTGATGGAGAGTCCTGGTGTAATGGGCCTGTGGATCGGTGAGGAGGCGTGGATGGATTCCCTTTCTGTGTTAGGTCAGGTTGGGGGAAATTCATGGGCACAGACTTGGGAGCCAGACTGTGACTTGCAGTTCAGTTACTGGCTGCACTCGGGAGAAAGGGTTCTGATCTCTCTCCCGCTGTGGTCCTTTCACCATTGCTCTAGAAAAAGGTGGAAATCCTTACATGTGGCAGGGTAAAAGTTTTGGATAAAAGAAAGTGGTGCACAGAGTAAAAAAAAAACCACTGTAAAGATTGGCAAAAGTACGTGTTCAGTGGTGTGCGGGTGTCCGTGTGCGGAAGGGCTGTGGAATGGGGTGGCAGGCTCCTGAGGAGTTCACAGTCAGGAGATCTTGCTTCCTGTGGTCCCTCGGACAGAACTCTCTCTTTAGAACTAGGAGGAGCCCAAGGCACCAGGACCTAGGGTTGTGCAAATACACTCTTACAAGGAACACCACCGGTTCGGTTTCTAAGCGTTATTTTAGAGCCTATAAAACATGCTTCCCTTCCCTAGCTGGGTTTCCTTACCTCATATAAAAAATAAATAAAAAGGACAAGAGAGAAACCGGTAACCGGGAGTAGGAATGGAGAAGAGTCACTCTTTACTTAATAATCTGTGGGCAGTCGCTCCAGGCCTTGGCTTTCCTTTTGGCCAAAGCCAGCCAGGCTGGTTCTGTGGAGACGGGAGCAGCGTCTGGGGTGGAAAACCTCTTGGTGACTTCTTTCACCAGTGGCGCGGGGGGAGGCGAGTCAGAGATCTCCACTGGGCGCGTTTTGGAGGAAAAGGAGAAAGGCGTGAGTCAGAGCCACACTTTGCCGTACCATACAATGGGATTCAGAAAGGAAAACTCAGCGACACTGGGCATCTTCGTTAAGAATCAGAGAAAGCAAGCGTTGTGATTGCAACTGTTAACGTGCAACATTATAGCGATTACAGTGCAGTCAGTTCTGATTTCAGGTAATTTCTAGAAGCATTTTTTTTTTCTGTGCACAGAAGCTAGGTCTGCATGATGGTAAAAAGTAAAAGGTAAATTTGTGATTCTAGTCATACAGCCAATCAATGTCACGAAGAAAACGATCAAACGAGCAGTTTGAATTTATCAAGCTGGTGAGGTCAAAAGGGCCCTTCCACCAGGCACGCCTGGGGCTCCTTCCCCCTCAGGCCCACAGATCCTGCCAGCTCTTAGGACTCTCAGTCTTGTCTAGCAATCCCTTTGCCTCATGTTGCTTTCTTACCACATCATAAAGGCTTCTTAAGGTGAGGGTTCCCACCCTTAGCAGAACTCAGGAGCTACTGGTGGGAAAGACAAATACAGTGCTTCAGAACAAAGCTGGCTGCCTTAACCTGAGCCACCTGAACTGCACTGACCCTTTGGAGCTTCCAAGAAATCAGGGCAGAGAGAGGTGTCATCTCTGGAGCTCTCACTTTATTTTGAACTAATTCTCTCTGACACACCCATATAACGTGTAGAGCCCTTAGTTCCTGGGCATAAGAGCCTAGTGAAATAATACCCTTGGAGAAGTTCTTGAGAAACTGTCCAGTGCTCCAAAGTGGTTTTCAAAAAAATTGTTTTCGCCTCACCGAATAGTAATTAAAGCTTTAATGGCGAGACCTCTACATTTCCAGAACTCAGCACGCAGGTGACCGAGGCGTAC